ATGAATACTTACATAAATGAATCAAAATTATTTTTGATCTAAAACAGTAAAAAAAAATAAATGATTAGAAGTACAAAATATTTTCTTACTTTATTAATCATTGGCATTCGGTCAGTTCGTCGTTTTTCTTTTATTACATCATCGAGTAACCGGATATTATTATTGATCGATTTAAATATATCCTTAAAGTTATCGTACGATTGAACATTTGCTGTTTTCTAAAATAATCCAAAAAATATTGATTTATTTTGTGTTTTTCAATAATGTTTTACTCACAAAATATTCTCGTAAAGCTTCAAGAAAGTAGATCAAGACTTTTAATCCCTTGGTAATATTTTGTACTTGTGTTTCCCCAGGCAGACAAACTTTTGAGAAAACGCGTTTAAACGCACAGAAATTAGCCTAAAATCCACAAAAAGTGTACGTTTTTGGTTCACACTTGAGGTTCCCGACTGTGAGCCAAAAACGCCCATTTTTCGCCCTTTTTATGCGTTTAAACGCGTTTTCAGACAAAAAACGCGTTTACACGTATACAAAAAAGAGAAAAAAGTTGTTGTATTTTTCGAGCTCAAGAAACGTCACTGTAATCATGATTGTGCATGTCAAGTATGAAAAACACGACCACTTTTTCTCTTTTTTGTATGCGTGTAAACGCGTTTTTCGTCTGAAAACACGTTTTTTTGCCTGAAAACGCGTTTAAACGCACAAAAAGGACGAAAAATGGGTGTTTTTGGCTCACAGTCGGGAACCTCAGGTGTGAGCCAAAAACGTCCACTTTTTGTGGATTTTAGGCTAATTTCTGTGCGTTTAAACGCGTTTTCTCAAAAGTTTGTCTGTTTGGGTCATGACCTAACCATTGGTTAAACGCATATTCAGCATCGGCATTACCATTGTTGAAAATAAACATCATAGCATTAAAATACACTCTAAAAATGAAAAAAATGAAGAAAATTTTTTTTTTTGGATTTTAATATCTACTTTGTCGATCGTTTATCATCACAATAATTGCAAATGATGTAGGCTAAACAATATAACATTCGTTTATCAATGGAATTTAATTCATTTAAATCGGTTATCGTCGGAACACGATGATATAAATTCATCGTTGCATCGAAAATCGATTTTGCAACTTGATCATCGACCTGATAATGACCAACTAAGTGACCAATTATCTTTGATTCCAATGTTTCCAATGGAAGTGCCTCGGCCATAGATAAAGTTTTTGATGTATCTCAACAAGATACTTTTCACTGAACAAAGATGAACTAAAATTGAGTTAATAAATGCTTTGAATAATGCTGAAAATTAATCTAAAATGAATTAATTAAATTTTCAATGATTTTTTGTTTATCAACACCAAGTTGTGGATGTATTAGATTGAATCGATTAATATACACTTTTGTTGAGATTTTTTGACATATACATAAAAGATCATTTAAAGTACAATGATGTTGAATTATTTATGTTGCTTCTTCAATTGTTTTTTTTTGTCTAATTACCATCGATATAGAAAAAAAATTTTTAGTTTTCCGAAAAGATTTCAATAAGTTTCTTTATCAATTTTATAACTCAATTCGTGGATTCTGAAAGATTTTTGTCAATTCAATTGAAATCGATTTATGAATCGAATTGAGGGTGTGGGTGTGGGTGTGGGTGGGTGTGGGTGTGGGTGTGGATGTGGATGTGAGGTGGGTGGGTGTGGGTGTGGATGTTAGTCTTCCCTTTCTTCATAGCCACCTACACTCACACCCCAGCCACACTGTTACAGTCATATGTATCACTCTTTGACTCATTGGTATTTGTTTATTCATTTCACATTCTTTGATGCTTTATTTCTCTCTATATATCGCTCTCTATACTCGCTTAAGAGGGAATTCAATCTCGAAATAAAAGAAACATCAAGAAGGAACTGGGGTAGTCTAATATTTGGTGCCGTGACCCGTCTTCTCTCGATCATTTTCACATAACGTCGCAAACACCTGTGTATTGGAATTTTGTCATATTCATTAACTTTTCGGTACAATTCATTTTTTCCATTACTATTTACCTAAAAAAAAAAA